ATTAAATGGGCCTATGTCTTATAGTTGCTAGCATGTAGGCCTATTTATAGTCACATTATTATGATCGGTCTACATTTTTTATTTAAATGTATTAATTAACGTAAATTGTAGTCCATCTATAGCAATAACTAAGGGCCTGTTTGTTATCGAATCTTCAGTGACAAATTCGTGGCTCTCTTTAATTAGAAAGTTACATAGTAAGGTAACACAAACTTACTGTATGAGAACTTTAATAAATACTTTTTATCTAAAACTTCCTAAATTCGCCTCTGTATGTTATTGTTGCCATACTTAAACAATAAATTAATGTCGCTATCAAGACTATCTTCTTCATGATTCTATATACAGTACAACATAACTCCAGAGTAACTTCGAGGAAGTCTCAGCAACACTTGCTTGAAATTGCAGGTGTCATTGGACCCGAATGATCACACGAGCATTTACATGGCATTTCACATAAAGAACACTACAGCGCCTATACAATTTATTTTATTTTATTCAATTCTCAACCAATAGAGATAGAAACTAGACTAGAACATAGACTAAGAAACACGTGGTACAAACTTGCAATAACTGTTATGTCTTCATAAAGTTTTAAACGAGGATAAACGTCAATAAATAAATTTCATCCGAACAACTTAAATTATTAAATGTAACTGCTACAATCTTTTAAATAATAAACTCTCTTACGTCAACTCGGCCAAAGGGGGGACATACATTTATTGTTTAGTGCGAGTACGACTACGAACGTTTAATTAAGTAAAGGTACACGATTAGAATCAAGCTTTTGTATAAAATTAACAACATATCCAAAACAAATCTACGTTATATTAGACCTATATTGAAAAAAAATGTTCACAAAATTCGGCGAGGGGGATTTATCTCAGCACCGAGTGGTGGCGCCAATCGGGAGAGCTCCCCCGGTCGCGATTTTTTTCCGTACGAAACATTTGCATGAAACTTCACTCGGGCCATCTCAGATTGACTCGACTAAGTTCGATACGAGGAACAAGAGCAGACACTTCGCAATGTCGTGTAACTAACTCTGCCCTTCTTGGATGTTTATTAAATGTTAGTATAATATCTACAACAACAACAGATAGTATACCCCCTTTTATAAATGTTGATAGGTACAGTAATACCAGAGGTTAGAGAGAAAGAGGATAAACTATGGGCCTAACTACAGGCTAAGTTAATTCCTACCTAGTATGCCTAGGGTCCTATGCTGACACCAAGTCACGCTTTACATACAGACATTGATTGAAATTTTGGGGGGAAAAATGGAAAAAAATTAAAGCATGAAATAAAAAATAGAGTGCATAAGAGAAATATTATTAAATAAATAAAATATACCATTCGTCGGCGTTATTGAACTTGACCAAACTATCCTTGTAATGTAATTAATGTTAAATAATAAATAATAATAATAATAACAATTTCAGCATTAATTACCTTGACCTGAGCCTTGTAATGAAGAACCATACTATTTACTAGGCCTATAATTAATAACTACCCCAGGGGGAATATCTTTTGTGTTATTTCCCTTAACGTCGATTTTTTAATTGTTCTCTAATTCCTCGATTGTCTAAGTTCCCCTTAAGGTAGGCCTACAGGTTGGTTTTAGTAACATAATAACAATAATAACAATAATAATAATAATAATAATAATAATAATAATAATAATAATAATAATAAATAATCATTTCGGCATTACATGTAATTAACCTGGTCTAATCTTGGCCTCATTTAAACATTCATTGGTGCTCTGCCATTTTGGCAGGTCTTATTATGGCATCCAGTATTTTAGAGCTGCCTCTTCTCAGCTCTTCTCTTAATTTGAAAATAACTGTCACCCTGTTTCATTTGATCAAACGCCCCGAGAAACACGCCGGTTTTCCTCACTCTCTGTGTTTTCCTCGGATGGATCTCGAGGACCAGAAAAGCGTATATTTTTTGTAGTTAGTCCTAGGTAATTATGCAAAACCCAGACCTAACTAAAAAATAAAAATTGCCACAGTATGTAACTCAAGTTAAAATAACACTTTTTTACTCGTGCAGCTCAATCAAATATCATGTCATTTAAACGACCCATTAGTATTAGCATGGTAACATCAATGTATTTTAAAAAAATAGACAGCGACGTTCTCTCAGGTCAGAAGTTGTTGATGACCTTTTGACCTGAATTCTGCAATATGAGATTTTCGGGTCGATTCATGTCGAGACGGCCCTGAGTGGAGTTTCATGTAAATGTTTCGTACGGGAAAAAAAATCGCCCCCTGGTCAGGGAGAAAATCCACACTTTGTCGGAGAGAAAACATTACTGTAGGCATATTTATTTTCTACATAAAAACTCTAATATTGATTAAGTAAGCGCTTGAAA